AACGAAAAAAAAATGTGGGGACGGCCGTCCTATTTGTATTTTTTTGAATTGATAAAATAGACTATTATTGTCTTGACAGTGATGTCGTTGTGTGAGTAAAAGACACAAAGTTCACTGTCACATTTTCGTTTAAAAACTTGTTTTTATAATTAATTGTCCCAGACCTTGAAAATTTTGGCTTTTATTCCATTATTCGATAAATGGTTACCAAATATTTTGAAGAAATAAAGAAAAAACTAGTAGATAAATTGTAGTGAATCACGTGATTTCAACCGTGAACCAACAATTAACTCTTCTATGAGCAAAATCACCTATTTCGTTCAACTTAGTAATATTGAAATAGATATTTTAGGATGAAATGCTTGTAATACGATGTGTTTTTCAGGTAAATGTATCCCTTCTATTCTAATAATGTAATGCAAAAAAAACCAGTAAAATTCAACCCTATTGTGCATGCTAATTACTCAAAAACTAAACATCAGATTCAGTTAGAAAATAACTTTAAAAGCAAAGCTTTGTTTAAATTTTATTTGAAAAAAGTTGGGTTGTTTTTTAGTAAAGTTACAAAGATTTTCCAACGAATAATAATTTTCCGGTTACATTGATTGTATTTGTTAATATTTTATTTTTATATAATTATTGTATAAATTATAATAAAATTTAATAATAAAAGCATTGATATAGACTTACAAAAACAAATAAGTTCACAATTATGGTGGTAGTAATTGTAAATTCATATTCGTCATTCTAGTTATAAGTAATTTATTTAGCAGTAAAAATTTTTTAATAAATAGAACCACAAATGTATATGCAGAAATAAACTTTTCACCAAGATTTATCACACAAAGGTATCTATTGTAATTTAAAAAAAAATAGTTAGAAATTGTTATATAAAACCAATAAGATTGATCAGTCAGCAGGCAACATAAGGAATAAGTAGCTTCGTTTATCCTCAGTTAAGCCAACGAGTCCGGCGAGGCTACACCCTTCCGAATATAGTAGCTATATTTTTCAGAATGTTTGTGATCACACAATCACAATTACGTCTCAGCAAATTCCGATTTAATCCCACCCTTTGAGCAATAAAATCACTCACTGACTAAGATGCACTACCACACCAACTAAGAAAAGACTCTTGCTTTCTTATCTCTTCTTTTTGAAGTGACTTAAAAATTGTGCGAGAACTTATTCCCCATGCCACACTGCCAACTGCATAAAGTTATCACACATACATAACTTCTATTTTCATTCTCGATTCTTCGCCTTCAAATTCTATAGATACAAAACGGGCAAAGTCATTAACTTGTTATAATACAGATCTATCACACAAAAAAATTAAAATCCTATACTTACAACATCAAACATCAAGCTCGTAAATTGAATAAACTTACGGAGTTGAATTTCTCTTTCTTCTGTCCTTACTGCTTTCCAGAACTTCTTTATATACTCATTTTCATCCATAACTAATTTTAATATCTTTTTTTTATCTCCCTTGTTGGTTTCTTCTAACCCTCCAAGAATATCAAGTGCAAATTCTGTTATTTTCCCAAAGTTCGCATCGCCAAGTCTTCTTTTATGTGATACGTCAACATTCTCTTCATCACCAAATGCTGCATCCGATTTTCTTTTTTGTGAAGCTTTATCAATCCATCTTTTAATTATTTCGTTATCAACGTTTTCCATTTTAGCAAATACCTCTTCGCAATTCCCACCTAGTGTCAAATAAAAAAATCAGTTGATGCTCTTGTGTAAAGTCAAATTGTTTGTTCTCATAATCAACTTACCAAGACAAATGATAACTTCACAAGCTAAGATTGCGACATGCTGGAGTGCATGATCACTCCAGCGACCTTTTTCGTTAATCACAATCCCATGAGCCAATTTGTTTCTTACGTTCTTAAAATTAGTTAGCAATTCAACAGGGTTAGCCTTATACTGGCCGTGGAATACAGATTTTTTTAAAAAAATGTTAATATTTTCTATTATAAAGTTTAACATGCACAGGAGATCAGCGTTACTAAAATCTGTGCTAACAGGAGGATGTTGTTTAGCCACGAACTTTTCGACAACCTCTGGAGAAATGATTGATTCATTGTTAACGAGAAACTTGTAAATTGCTTTTTCTGCAAGATTAACGAACGGCTCTATGACTGCTCCTTGTTCATTTTCAGTGAAAGAAAAATTTTGTTTTACTTCCGGAGAAGATCCAGGAGTATGAGTAGTTCTAGTATTGTGGTTGTTAATAGTTCCATATGGTCCACACACGGTAGATGAATAAAGTCTCGATTTTTTAAATATCGTATGTCCTTTAAATAATTTAGGAGAGATAGAGGAAGAGGAGGAGGACAACTTTTCATCTTCAAGCCAGCCAAATACCGTAATATGGGCTTGAGACTTTTTACGGAAGTCCGGATCGTCATGTAAGATATTGTGGAGTGAATCACGGAGCGATTTGTGTGAAATATTCAGAGGACAGATGTTGCATAATGCATTTAAAGTAGCGTTGAAAGTATCTTTTATGTTCTTCTCGATTACACCAGAACGCAACCATTTAGAAAGTTTGTTTTTACCCATAACAAATAAGTGTTTTTATGAGACGCGACACGTAACACGTAAAATTTGGTTAAGAGCAAAAATCCCTTAAAAATGAGTTAATCATCTGTGTGTAACCCTTTAATTACATGTTGGTCTTATTGAGTTTCACATGATTTTTTAAAAAATTTTTTTAAATTAGATAGGATCGGTGAGGCAAAAATAGTAAAAAATTGCCAATTGACAATGTTTAACAAACAGTATTTTGTATTACAAATGTTGATTTTTTTTTATGAATGAATGAAGTAAATATCATATCGAAAAATTGAAGAGCTTGAAGTGTCTTTTATATGCTTGAAACTGAGATTTAAGTCCTAAAAGTTATTTTTATTTTTATTTTTGGCCAATGTTAATAATTATTTTGACCAAAATTATGTATATGAAAGGGAACATTACATAGAAGATTCTTTGAATTCAATAAAATGGAAGGCTTTTAAGCATGGTATATAATTTTACAATTATTAAGGATTATTATGACCAAATTTATGTATGACTTTTACAAAAGGGATCATTACATAGAAGATTCTTGAATTCAATAAAATGAAAGTATGAATAACAAAAAACAAATTTTAATTTATGTAATTATATTTATTATTTGGGGTCTGATCAATAGAAACGAGGCATGTCACCAAAAAGTTGATTTTGAGTTAACAATATTTTTATATGTAATTCA